GGTTTCCGCGGTCCTAAACGAAAGTTGGATTTCAAAGAAAACATTTAAGAATTCTTGCTTTTATGATGACGAGGTTAATTCCATAATTTCACTGCAACACCAAACATTTCCTTTCTTTTATCCTTGACCTAACCCTGCTTTTCATTTTTCTCTTTTACTGAGAATTTGGGGTTTTCTGTTACGGTGGGTTGACGAATAGGGCGTTTGAATGGGTGAAGCTGCGATGGAAGTAGACGTGGAGGTCGGAGCGGCGGAGGAGAGGAAGAATGAGAAGGAGAAGGAGAAGAACGGGAAAAGGATGGATCATCAGAGGTTGTTCAGTGGGAAAAGTTCTTACCTCGGATGCTTCTCAGGGTTCTTTTAGTTGAAGCTGATGATTCCACCGTCAGCTCATCGCCGCTCTTCTTCGAAAATGCAGTTACATAGGTTTCAATTTCTCCTTTCCCGACGGCGTTTAGTTTCTCTAGATCTATCGATTATAAGTATTAGTTTGATCTCCTTTTGTTTTATACAGTAGTTGCGGCTGTCCTGATGGTTTAATGGCATGGGAGACTTAAAGGATCGACAGCACAACATTGATCTAATATTGACTGAAGTCGAGTTGCCTTCAATATCCGGATTCGCGCTTCTTACACTGATCATGGAACATGATATCTGCAAAAACATTCCTGTTATAAGTACGCTATCTCAACTTAACATCTTGTTGTTGCTTTCAGATGTGAAGCTAATGTGTTAATATTTTAGTTTTTCCCTTTTTTGGATGATTAACAGTGATGTCATCCAAGATTCAATTACCACGGTTCTGAAGTGCATGTTAAAGGTGCAGCTGACTTTCTTATCAAACCTGTTCGGAGGAATGAATTGAGAAACCTCTGGCAGCATGTTGGAGAAGACACATGGTATGCACTATGCGGTGCTATGCTCAACGTTTGCTCAGTTTTTCTTGGCTGAAATCAAGCATTTAACTTGGATTCACGTTCTTTTTTCCTGGTATTTGCTTTACTTTTTATCAGCTAGCCGGTGGCGGTGTCCCTTAAGCTACCTGCTACAGAAAATAATGTTGAAACCATGCTGAGAGTGAGAGCACCAATTCAGTGAGTATGGATCGTCTACACAGAAAAATAAGAAGAAAGTGGTACCAAAGTGAGCATTTTCTTATCTTTTGGTGAAGGTTTCGATATCTGCTTTCGATATTTCTGCTCAGGTTCTGTAATATGTTGAGGGTTGTGCATAACTTTTATAACATCCTTGCCTGTGAGATGGAGCGTTCTTAGGATGCCCAACAACCAATGGAATTTATAATTTGTTAGGTTTTTGCATATTGCCAAGCTAAGTAATCTCTTCGTTTTTGTATGAGGATGTACTGATATCGAAATCTACATTAGAATTCTCGGATCCATGATGCAATTGTATATGTGAGGAAAAATTCTTTTCCAGAACGATTACGTTGGCTTCATTAAGTTTCGCATAGAGACCGCATGTTGTGCGCCCACTTGTGCAGAATATCTGAGAGTACATACATGCAAAATATGCAGGGTCTTTCAGAGGGGAAGTGTACCAGTGCCAATCTTAGCGATGCAGACAGGGAGCAGCAAGGAAATGTTGTTAAAATGGGTCAAGAGTCACTTCGAAATGGGGGTCAAGTTGAAGGTATGTTGTGCTGTTTTACAAAATTTTTAGTTCCCTTTTATGATTTCAGCTAAAAGAAAGAAAATTTTCTCCCTCTTTATGACCAGGGATATCTGACAAGCCCTGTATTTTAGAAAATTCTAATAGATTGGTGGAGGTAAAGGAGGTTGCTTGTTGCAGTGAAGCTTGTGAATCAGATGCATCCAAATTGGAAGAAGACCCTGCTTTCATTAAAGGGACATCTCATGATGGTGGTGTTGGACTACAAATTATTAGAGGAAACGCAAATTCTACGATCAGGGTTGGCTGCAATGATGAGCTGGTTAAACCTATCACTGGGGCTATTGATTTAATTGGTTCGTTTAATAATCGATCAAAGGGCACCTTTGCATGTTCTAATTCAAGAGATGGTACCGACAAGTATGAATTTTATCCTGAGTTAGAGCTTTCTTTGAGAAGGTCTGGTTCAAGCAGCTCTAAGAACCAAGGTACCAGTGAAAGGCCCATGCTAAACCACTCTAATGCATCAGCTTTTTCATGGTAAATATTCTGTTTCCTTTCTGTTATTACTGACCTTAGGACGTATAAATGTTTTAGCAAAAAGAAGAAAAATAGGCCCTTCTTTGTTTACATGATATCTATTGTGGAGAAACCTAACGAGTTGATCTCAGGATTTTTCATTTTATTCACTTCTCCATATTTTACCCTATCGAAGGACTTCTTTAGCTGTTCTTAAAAATCTACGTTTCTTGAACAATTATATAATAGAAACATTTGTGGAGAACTAGAGACATAGGTGTATCCGTGGATAGTGGAGACAATCTAGAGGTGGCTACATTGACATAGGTTATTCAACACACGCCAAAATTCCCAATAACAGAAGTGGTTGTATATGATCTCTATTTCTTCAAATTTTTGTAGTATGCAGTTTTCTGATGATTGGTAATTTATTTTTGCAGGTATAACAATAGCAAATCTTCACAACCCGTTTTCTCTAGACCAGCTGACAACCAAGATGCATTGAAAGAAGATGACAGTAAATCCAAATCAGACCAGGAAAGTAACAATGATACTTCTCAACCGCATGTTGTTCCAGTGAGTAATAGTAAGGAGAATCTGACTAATCCAGTCACTAGTCAGTCAGAGCTATTAGTTCCGAGCACCCAACTTGAGCTGATTCATATTCCAGGAGTGAGGATGGACGACATGCATGCTGGGTGTAATAATGTTTTTCCACACTTTTATTATGCACGATCAAATCCTCCCCTTGAATGTAGTTCTGATCCCTCTGGACGGCGGGAATATTCTCCCATTCCTGTGAGCACCTCAGGTCACATGCATCCTGATGTTCATGACCCAGAACAAGGTTACCACCGGTCTGATGAAGCAACCGACCGTTCTATTGACCAGACTTTCAAAGAACCAAATAAGCAGGAGCCTGCGGGGCTACTGAGGTGCATTTCTCCTATTGCTAATCAGAGTGCTTGCAGCAGTTTTTGTGATGGAGTTGATAATCATGAAAAAGGCATCGCACGTGGAGACATTTTGAGTAGGAGTGATGCAGGTGCTAGTACTACAGGTGCTGCAGCAAATGATAGGGGCACAAATACTGGTAGTTTCAGTGATGGCAATTTCTTCTTCCCTGATGGACCGAAAGGGATGGATACTCAGCGGTCCAGCCAAAGAGAAGCTGCTTTGACAAAGTTCCGACTCAAGCGGAAAGATCGATGCTTTGAAAAAAAGGTATATTATTACTACTGCTATAATTGTATTTGTTGAGGTTGGCTAAAAGCTTTTGCATGTGAGACTCATTGTTGTGTGCAGACATCCATGTACTTTCTTACATCTATATGCGGCTTGGTGCCACTTAGCGCCACAGCTGCTCTTCTTCCGAATTTTATCACATTTGTTCCCTCTAATCCATCATTTATTTTGCTAAGGTGCTATTATTCCAATAGGTCCTTTCTTTTGTAGATGCCCTTCTGTAGGTACAAGCATCTTTTTACCAAGTTTAGACCCTAATGCATAAAAATCCAAACAATTTAGATTCAGACTTACCTTGTAAACCTCCATGAATGAGATAACATCCTAGTTTTCCCCGTGGTGAGAAAAGAAAATCGGCAACAGACCATTTTGTAGCAGCATCTAGGCCATTTCTTTAATGGTTAGCTTCTTTGCACAGGTTCGATATCAGAGCCGAAAAAGACTAGCAGAGCAGCGTCCCCGAGTGAGAGGACAGTTTGTCCGTCAAGTGGGAAATGAAACCCATGTAAATGATACCGATGTGCCTAATATATGACGATACGAACCCGTCTTCCATCTTGCAAGCATATTCGAGTAGGAGCTTCTGTAAGAAAAGTAGGAACATATGTTAACCGAAAATATTTTGCAAGCTCCATTAGTATGTGCTATACTATTGGTTGATGACAGTAATTTTCTGCATACAACCTATATAGGTAATATTATTATTATTATTATTATTTAGTGAAGTAGTCTTGGTTCTTTTGCCCTATATGTATGGTTGTTAATCCTCACTGAACAACTTACTACACGTAGTTAGGCAGGTTGGTTTGTATAATATTATTCGCTTCAATAGGTTAAAAAAGTTGTCTTCGACTGTTTTCTGGTTATTTTTATCTGGTAGATTTCTTAGGTACTCTTGTAATTCTGCCATTTTGAAGGCAGAAAGTGAAGTTATATTGCAACTGAAAGCGGTGGAAAGGAAAGGCGAAATGCCGGAATTTTCACGTGGTGGAAGAAACAAATGGCATGGAGCTTTGTGGCCGATGCGGGGCCAAATGCCATGCATGCATGTAGAAAGAAAAGCCAGCCACGGAATTGGATTTGGGGTAAATAAAACATATTTATCTGTCGGTGCTGCTCGTTTCACTTCCCTTTGTGTTTCCCTAAAACTCTAGTATCACCCGTTTAGCATAATTTTGAAGATTAAAGGGATGGACGAACCTAACGATTTTTGTATATATTGTTATTATTTCTTGAAGTCTTGAATTTAAACATATGAAACATTAAAGATATGAGCGTTTAATATTAAATAGTTAAAAATTATCTTTAAATATATGTTATATTCTACTCACCCAGATTAACAAAAAAAAAAAGATTAACAAAAAAACGTGTTTGATAAAAAATGATTTTTATCTAATTAAAAACACATTGAGATAAAAGGAAGAGAATCCCGTTGTTCTAAATAGAAAACACGCACTTTAGTTCATCGATCGAACCATCTCTCCTCTTTCCTTCACTTAATTTATTATTCCGTTTCTTACTCGTATTCTTCTTCTCCTCCTGTTTTTTTCTTTATATACTTACAACACCATCACTCTCCGCCCCCACCATCACCAACCAGGAATCATCACCCCTATCCATTTTACACTACAAATAGGTCCCCGTTTGTATACGTTTTCCCATGACAGACCAAAGCCAACCACCGCAAGATCCTCCTCCTCAGCAACCACCACCCAATATGGGCGAAGGAAAGCCACCTAAACCCAAGCCTCCAGCCCCCGACCAAGGAGGAGCAGCCCGCCGCTCCTGTTGCTTATGTATTTTCATCTTTCTCCTCTTAGCAGGAGCCGCCGTCCTCACCGTGTGGCTCATCTACCGTCCCCACAAGCCTCGTTTCATCGTCGTCGGTGCCGCCATCTTCGAACTCAACGCCACCTCACAACCTTTCATTTCCACTTCCATGCAGTTCACCATCGTCACGAGGAACCCGAACAAGAGAGTCTCCATCTTTTACAACAAGCTGCAAGCTTACGTCTCCTATAGAAACCAACAGATCACTCCCACCATGGACTTGCCTCCGCTGTACCACGAGACGAAGAGCACGGTAGCGCTGTCGCCTGTACTGGGCAGCGGGATGGTCCCGGCTTCGGCGGAGGTGGTGAACGGACTGATGATAGACGAGACGTACGGTGTGGTAGCGTTGAAGGTGGTGCTGTTGGGGAAATTAAGATGGAAAGCCAGTGCTATCAGGACACCGAAGTATGGATTCTATGTGAGATGCGATGTTTGGGTTGGTTTGAAAAAGGGTGTCGTCGGACCCTTGCCTTTGCTCGGAGCTCCTCCTTGTAAAGTCGATATATGAAACTCCATTGCCAATGCATATATATGTAGCTTTGGTACTTGGTTTCTTTTTTGTAAACTATCTGAACCACAGTTGCAGAGAGGAACATAACATGTGGTCGTAATAAGCAAATGTGATGAGAAAAATGTTAATGCAAAATGGGCTTCATTCATCTTCTTCCATTTTCCTTTTCTTTATCATCTTTACTTCGTTTCAGTTCAAACTGCAGTAATGGGGGATTCTGTCGGTTAACAATGGTAGGAATGGGAATGCCATGGATTGCCACACAAGGGATTTAATGTTCAGACGCATGGCTCTACATGCAACAAAAGTCACCCACCATTCTGCATATCTATATATATTGACTTGTGATTTCGTCCTATCTCAGCCCTGTAACTGTAGAAACCATTGTGTTTCATTACGGGTTTTATTATTCGAATATATCATTTAATTTATATATATAGGGTAAAGTATACAAATGATTCTCGACTATAGAATGATGCTTTGGTGAGTCTCTCGAATATTAAAAGTTACATAATGATCATCGACTATAGAGTATTGTTTTGTTAAGTCCATCGACTATTAAAAGTCGCAAAATGGTCACTGACTATTCATTGTATTCTAAACTCGTCCTTTTATGTTAAAAAAAGACAGCGGTCTAAGTTGAACGTTAACCTGTTGATTGTGATGTGATAAAATCTGATCTCAAAATCTCAAACGACTATCATATCTCAATTATCATGCTAACGTTCAGCCCAAACGATAATAAGTTTTTTAATAGAAAATGATGAGTTTAAAACATAATGAATATTTGGATGCTAATTTTATAACTTTTAATAATCGAATAATTTAATAAAATAATATCTTATAGTCGAAAGACCATTTATATACTTTACACATAAATTATTATCTTAACCTAAAATGGTGGGCATAGCATCTATGAATATCAAATTGCTTGCACTGGTGCTGGATTCTCTAATATATATATATATATATATATATATATATATGAGTTTTATTCAACTAAATAGGATTATAAAAATATCTTATAAAAATAATAAGATTTTTCATAAAATATTTACGTTGTTGCATTTTTTATAAACTCCAAAATTTACAAGAGTAATAGTCATGACTAGGGAAGGGCACTCAACCCGAACCCGACACGATCCGATCGGGTCAGATTTAAAAAAAAAGGCTCGGGTCAGATCAAGTTTTTTAAGTGTGATATTTGGGTCGGAAAAAATATATAATTTTACCTTATATATTTATGAATAATTACAATAATACCCCTCTATATATAAATTTTTTCAATTAAATCTTTGTTTTTATTGAATAAAAATATATTTTTTATTATTTCGGAACGGGACAGGTCGGGTCAGGTTTCTAAGTCATATATTCGGGTAGGGTTGGTGAAACCTTTTTTTGGTCGAGTCGAGTCTCGGGTGGAGGCTCCCTTGTTCTCGGGTTGGGTGGACAAAAACCCGACCCAACCCGACTCATGTCCATCCTTAGTCATGACGGTTTTCATATTTTTTAAATTATATTTGTAAACCCGAGATTCATTGAGTTGAGTATAATTAATTATAATCAGTCATACATTTCTGAAGATTTATTATTTAATATACCGATGTTATATAAATTCTTATATTATTAGTAAATCGTATTAAAAATCCGTTTATAAATTAATGAATAATTTATTAAAAATTTTAAAACTAATGTCATTACTTTTTTTTCAACGAATTGAATCTTCTTACTAGTATTATGTATCGCTAATCTATCGAATGTAAATATTATTTTTATTTATTTTATTTTCAATTTATTCATTAATATTCAAAAATCCAATATTAGTAATTTTATTTTGATTAAAGTACATAAATGGCACCTCGATTGTAGGGTAATGCTTTATTAAGTCCCTCAATTATTAAAAGTTACAAAATGGTCACTCGACTATTCATTATGCTCCAAACTCGTCATTTTCCGTTAAAAAATGGACAGTGTTTTGAGCTAAACGTTAACCTGTTAATCGTGATATGATAAAATATGTTCCCAGAATTTCAAACGACTATCATATCTCAGTCGTTATGTTAACGTCTAACTTAAACAACCACCAATTTTTAACAGAAAAAGGACGATTTTGGAACATAATGAATAGTCGGATGACCATTTTGTACCTTTTAACAATCTAGGGACTTACAAAGCAACATTCTATAGTTTGAGGATCATTTTGTAACATTTAATAGTCAAGAGACTTAATAAAGCAATATCCTATAGTCGGGGACCATTGTGTACTTTACCCATTTATTTTATAAAAAAATGACTTGACTTGCACGTATTGGAGCAAGAGAAAGCATAGAAGAAAAAAAGAAAATAAAATATACTAATTTCAATCTTGATTGAAAGAACAAAGCAATTCAGTCTTTAATTTCCCAGTCCTTTCGCAGAGATATCAATGATCCCATTTGATATTGTCAAAAACAAGAACAAAAATTAATAATTCTCACCAAACAGATAGACCATTCTCTCCAACCTCCATGGATCATATACACCTTTGACTTCCTTATCTTCATCATCACCGGCCGGGCCAATAGCTTCAAACGGCAGTAGCTTACGGCCGCACAAGGGGCATGTCTCGTGACCCTGATCGATCCACCCATCAATGCACCCTCTATGATACAGGTGACGGCAATTCCCCAGCTCTCTAATTTCTTCACCATCCTCGATGCACTCCAAGCATATCGCACACTCGGCCGATTGCTGCCCGATTTCGGCTCCTAGTTTCGATCTGCCGAACTCGACCACCAGCAGCTTCTTCTTTATCGACTTCGAGACGACATGAGCCATGAAGGGCACCGGCACCCGGGACGGTGAAGGTCGTTCGTCGTCGTAATCGTCGTCAAAGTCCGCATCGTCATAGCCTTGGTGGGGTTCAAAGATGCCGCGGAGTTTCTCAACTCGACACCAACAGAAGTCTTTCGCCGTCGAGATGAATCCAAGGTCGGACGTCAAGAGGAGAACGAGAAGTGTTATGATCACAAATTGCGAGAAATCAATGGAGTTGAAAAGCTGAATCATGGTTCAATTGAACTTGAAAACCTTAGACATATATGGCCCAGATAAGGGTTATGAGATATTTATATCTATCTAACTATGTATATGGGGAGAGATGAATATTAAAACTATATGCTAATATTAATACGATAATAATTAAACTTGCATTAGCGTAATTAGTCAAAGGAAATTGAAGTGCTACACAACAAAGTTTGGTATATTTTGATCAGTAAAAGGACGTGCGTATTGCATGTTTAATTACGCAGTCGTAGGCTGACTAATATTATTATAGTTTAAAGGGTAAATTACGCATTTAATACCTAAACTAAAAATTTTGACCCGTTTCAATACTTAAAACTTTCAGTTTTTTCAAAACCATACTTAACGTTTAATTTTTGTTTCATTTTAGTTCGCTGTTAAAAACTTAACATTTTATGGGTAAATTACATCATTCATCACTCAACTATCTTCTCACCCCTATCTTAAGGTCCAGTTCAATAAAATATAAATACAGACAATTAAAAAATATTTTCTCTCTATAATTTTTACGTCAATAATTAATGATAAAATTGGATATAAGTAAACAAAAGACTTAAAATTGCAAATAAAAATACTACGTAGATTCAGTTTCACACAAAAACTATAAACTAAAATTTAATATTTAAAATAATATAGGGAGGCGCCTTTGGCAACTTTAAACCAAGTTTAATTTATAAAGTTAAATTACTTTTCATCTGTGGGTAATAATAATAACTTATTCATATTAATTTAACCCAATAAACTTGGAAATCTGTGATGGTTTTATGTATGTATATATTCAAAAGGCTAGTCAAATATGTAGTCCTTTCACTTCAAGTAGACACGTTGTTACATAATAGTCGGTGCAAGTTTTTTGAGATATTTTTAATTTCACGCGCCAGCAACCCTATGTTTTCATATCTGATAAATAAATACAACTATTAAAATTTACACGACCTACACTGCCTAGTAGTTAAGAAATTTGTTGTTTTTCTTGAGGTTTTGAGTTGCATATCATATCATAGATGTCAGAGATATAAAAATTTATTATCAAATGATCGAGAATATATAAACATATATTACCTTATATTTATCCAAGATGTATCATATAAAAATACTAAAATTTAAAATTAAACTCCCATTAAAATTACAATCAACAATTTATTTATTAATCCACTCGTAGATCCCTAACTAGGGATGGGCATGGGTCGGGTTTCGACCAACAAGACCTGATTCGGAAATTTTATATCCTTCACCTGATCCGACCCGACCCGAAAAATATATACCCTCCACCCGACCGAACCTGACTCAATTTTTTGAGAGAAAATTCGAACCTAACCCGATGCAAAATAATAAAAAAATATTATTTGTATTCAATAAAAATAATGATTTAATTGAAAAAAAAATATATAGAGGGGTATTATTGTAATTATTCCTAAATATATAAGGTAAAATTATTTTTTCCCTGGTCGGGTCGAGTATTTTTCACTTTAAACCCGAATCTGACCCGACCTGAACACCACCTTACAAAAACCAGATGCGATCATGTTAGGTCGAGTCAGAACCAATTGGGTTAGGGTACCATGCCCATCCTTATCCCTAACCTTTATCTAGTGAAATTATTTTATTTCTAAACCCTAGTTAATTTTTCGAATTTTATTTCCTTACATTTTATGGTGATATGGTAAAAAATATTATTATATGCATCATTAAATTTTTAAATTTTATTATTTGGTCCTTAAATATTTAATGTAATTGTTAAGATGCGCCTTTTATTTATGAGATTGACCTAAACATTCGGCCATTGTCTTTTCGTGGTCAACATCTTTTTTTCATCGCGAGTTATCGTTTGTGACGTAATTAGTACTAAAACGTTTCACTTTCTTTCATATTTCTTCTTATTGATTTGGTTTTCCTCGAAATCTTCTTAAAGTTAATAAAACTAAAATCAAAATTTTGATCTTGTCTCGATTCAATATGTAATCTTCAACGTCTGATCATTAAGAAATCATAATGAATTGCTTTTCTCTTCCTTCTTGATCTCCCATCATTCAAATTTGCTAGAAAATATTTTAGTGTAAATGATCAAAATATTTGAGGATCGAGTGACCTAAAGAGTAAAAGTTTAAAGTTTAAATATTAAATTAAACTTTAAAAGTAAATGACCAAAATATAAATTGTTAAAAATTGGATGACTAAACAATGTAGTTTACACTAACAAAATTGAAGGACGTGTATAAATCATATGGCAGCTAGGTTCGATGGAGCCGTTAGTGGATCAACCAGGGCTTCAATTACTCAACAATAATATAACAAAATATTGTTCGGGTCCAGACCAAACGCAATGGGTTCCTAAAATAAGATATAAAAAATAAAAAGACTAAATTGTAAATTTTCAAAAATATCCCTATTAAGGAAAATTGAAAATGCAGTGCAGGTGATGAGAATACTGATAATTTTTGAAAATTTATATTGAAAAAATAAAAAAATAGGTTTAATACAAAAAAAGTGTCTAAAATTTATCTCGAAATATAATTTGGTGCCCAAAGAATTTTCGCTAAAAATAGGTGTTAAACATTTCTAACATTATATTTTTAGGTGTCTAGACCGTAATAGCTATAAATTTTGACTGTTATCTAATACGTGTCATACATATAAAATTTCAAAAATTATTTTAATTAAAAATTAAAAATTATAATTGGAAAAACAAAAACAAAACTCTCAAATTTTATATTTTCCGTAGTCGGTTTGCCACCTTCGGTCTGTGGACGTCACCGTTGATACTATCAGAACTGTCACGTCGCCGCGACCAAAACTCAATCCTCAACCCACCGTAAAATTGCACGCAACCGTCGTGAAGGGTCACTGAATTTTTAAGTTTTTCGTTTATGTCTTCTGACGATTCGACGGCTACAACCGTCCGTACGTTATAAAACTGGCACTGTTGTGTTTCTCGTCGTGTTTCGAACAAAATCTGATTGATGGTGACCGTTCGCCTTCGGAGGTAGGTCGACGGAAGGGAGAGGGATGGCAAGGGCAAAGGGGAGTTTATTTCTTTATTTTATCTTTTTTTAAAAATAATATTTTTATTAATAAAAATTAAAAAATATAACAATAGACACCTAAAATATAACGGAGAAAACACTAAACACATATTTTAACAAAAAAAATCTTTAAACATCAAATCATATTTTAAATTATAATTTAAATAATTAATACAAACCAAAAAATATTTTAAATTATAATTTAAATAATTAATACAAACCAAAAAATATTATATCAACAAAGACGATTTCTGTAATATTCTCGAAGTAACGACTCTTATTCCTCTAATTAATTCTAGACCTGCATCCATTTTTTTAATTATTTTTCAAAGGAATTATTTCCTTAATTTAGCCACGTGAGACACACGAAAATTCTAATTGATTTAAACTATGAATATGACAAGTGGAGATCATTGTCAGACCACTCAGTCCGTACCATTTTTGTCACTTTAATTCAATTGTTCATTTAGTCATCATTGCAAGATACTGACGATCCTTGTTTTGTGGCTGAGAAAAAAAAATTACACGATTTTAATAAAAATAAAATATCTCGACAATCGAACTCCTTTGTCCCAGGAATTTTTCAGAGCTTTTCAGTGGCAGTAGTTGTGCACTGCTTGTCTGTTTTTGTTCGGCCACTTTCAGGTATGACTCATCTCCATGTTCTTGGATTTCTTTTTTTTTTTCTTTTCCCTGTAACTTGGAAATGGATGAAAGGCTGCTAAGGGCAATGTTGTAATATTGCAGAGGACTGTCGTCCGTCTATAAACTGCCATACTATCTTAATCGCAGGGCAGGGGCTTCAAGTTTTAACAGAGATACGGCCCTATTATCGACTCGATTTCAAAGGTGGTTTTTTTTAGTATATTTAGTATGCCTAATTTTTGCCAAAATCTGTACTTTTCGCCTTATTTGGTTATTATTCATCACTTTTAGAATCTGGGGTTGTTATATTTTACTCTGGGTGTCATATCTGGTTATGGCACCTTGCATGCTAGAGACCCATTTCACAGTAATTTAATCTTCATGATTTTATGTACTTCGTTTTTTCAATTGTTATATACATATATGCTAATTTTGTCCCTTTGCCATGGCGAGTGGTGATGAAACAGATTAAAACTGTTTTTAGTGTGTATCCAATGTTTGATGTAATGCCTGAGAAGAAGTACAAAAGAGCTGTTCAAGATGTGATGCAAGATTGTTGTTTTTTTGCCCGAAGCAAGTTTCTATCCGTCTTTGGGTTAATCAATAAAATACTTCCAACTCGCGGACAATTACCGTAGTTTCAATCTGATCGTGATGTTTTCTTTTCAATAATGAATTTGATAAGGTGTTGGAAAATGTCAATTAGGCAAGGTGTTGGTTTTGGTATGGTTAATTGAAAAGACTAGTCTGCCAAATAGCCTTCTGCCTTTCAAGTTTTGTAACCCTTGCCAGGGATTTGCTTCTCTCCCTTATATTTCATGTATACACTCTCACACACACATATAACAGCTCCCTAATTTTTATGTATCAGCTCCTTGCGAGGTAACAATTCTTGCTTGTGCCCCCAATTTACGTGTATCAGATTGTTGAGAAGTAATGATCTCGCTTACCTCTTGGGTTTATTATATCTATCTTCTTTGCAAAATGCATTTGAAGGTATTGCTTGTATCTTGATGGTCAAACTTTTAATCTGTTAAATCTTTTCTCAGACGGTCAGTATCAGTGAGTCTCTGCTTAATGTTCTTTTACACAATTTCGTCTTCAATTTTTTAGCTTTGACATTTCTAGGACCAATATTCTGTTTTTAAACCTCTTGAAAGGATTATAAAAACCATCATGTTCCTATAATCCTTTACATCTATGTGAATGGTGCAAGCTGGATAAGTAGTTTCATTGTTATAGGGAAGAAAGTAGTTTGCATATGAGGAAGTTGTTCATTGACCAAAAGTCGATCTTTTGCCTGTCATATGTATGATTCAACTCCCCCCCCCTTTTTTTATCAGCCTATTTGAAGCATTGTCAAAATGCTGTGATTTTTTGGATTTTGTTGGGTGCATAATCAAAACAGTTCACGATGATTGTAAAACACGCATCCCACTGCTAGTTTGAGTAGTTGATTCAAATATTAGGAAACAAGCACAATACCATAAGTTCATTTTACTAATCCTCTACTGTGATTTAAGCTTGTGTAATTGAAACAACCTTGTGTATCATAGGCAGACAGCTAGTTTCTGGTCCACGTAAATGATGCTCTGCATATAGGCATTTAATATGAGCACAGTTATGTGATGGTCAGTACCCAGTTGACGTGTCAATATAGATGTTTAGGACCATAGACCTTTGACAAAAAGATTGGTTCTGATGAGGAAGAAAGGAGGGCGTTCGCTTGAATCATCGATTTTCCTTTAAGAAAGTTCTTGAAGAACTTTAGTCCTAGTGATTCTCAGACTTGAAAGTCATCTATTGCTTATATATATATATATATTGTTCCAAGCCTTGTATATGCTTTTCCCTATTGTTCTTTATTGTTGGTCATCAGAATATAGAGAAATAGATAAATGGATTAGGCATTCTGTTTTGGTTGTACATAATTACACGTCTCACTTATAAATGTTTTGGTTGATGCATTCTGTTTATATCCGCCATGTTGTTGCGTCAATTTTCAGATGGAAGTGCAAAATCCTCAACACGGACAAGATATTGAAATAAATGTGGATGTTGCTGAAGGCCAAAGGAGTTTTGGAGGGAGTAAGATATGTGGGGAAACAGCTTGTGGACTTTCTAGTGCTGGTACTAGCTCTAAAGATGCTGAAGAAAGGTCGGCTTCGATGCGCAAGCTTTTCATTGCTGTGGCGCTTTGCATCATCTTCATGAGTGTAGAAGTAGTGGGAGGCATCAAAGCCAATAGTCTAGCAATATTAACTGATGCAGCACATTTGCTGTCAGATGTTGCAGCTTTTGCCATCTCCTTGTTTTCATTATGGGCAGCCGGCTGGGAAGCCAATCCCCGTCAGTCTTATGGATTTTTTAGGATCGAGATTCTTGGGGCCTTGGTCTCAATCCAGATGATATGGTTGCTCGCAGGAATCTTAGTTTATGAAGCCACTGTTAGACTCATTAATGACACAGGTGAGGTGCAAGGATTTCTAATGTTTGTTGTTGCTGCTTTCGGACTAGTGGTTAATATAATCATGGCTCTATTATTGGGACATGATCATGGTCACGGCCATGGTGATCACAGTCATGGAGTGAGCATTACCACAAACCATCATCACGAGGGACACTCCACAGTAGAGCACCACCACCATCATCCTGAGGAGCACTCCAAGACCAAGCACCGTCATCATCACGGAGAGACGGAACACACCGATCATGAGGGGCACCGCCATGTTCACAAAGAACAATCGGAGCCTCTGCTTGATAAGCCGAAGAAGAAGAAACGAATGAACATAAATGTCCAGGGAGCCTATCTTCATGTACTGGGGGATTCCATCCAAAGTATCGGAGTAATGATTGGAGGAGAATTCATATGGTTTAAGCCGGAATTGAAAATAGTTGATCTGATCTGCACACTAATATTTTCAGTACTTGTTTTGGGGACTACCATAAGAATGTTGCACAGCATACTCGAAGTACTGATGGAGAGTACACCTCGGGAGATAGACGCAACAAGGCTGGAAAGAGGGCTGTTGGAAATGGGGGATGTGGTGGCCGTTCACGAGCTGCACATATGGGCCATTACTGTGGGGAAGGTCATGTTGGCTTGCCATGTCAAAATCAGACCAGAAGCCGATGCAGACATGGTCTTGGACAACGTAATCGAATATATAAGAAGGGAGTATAATATCAGTCATGTTACCATTCAGATTGAGCGTTAAATGAAAGAGAAGAATATGGAGCATGCGTCGACCTCCTTATTCTATATATGTAGTTGCCATAAAGATTAGCTAGTGATTATCTGCCTACTGGTCCGTATCCACTATCTAGTCAGTGTATATTATGAAATCATCGTTTGTTGAATCATTTGTTTGAGACCATTTCATGCTCGATTACTTGATCTTGAAGCAAAAGAAAAACCTTCAATTCAGTCAGTTAATGTTGTGAAGTTGAAGGCCAAAGCAATATTATCATTTAACCCTTTGAATTTAAGACAATTAGTGTAGTGCCTTGACAGAATGGACAACAATTAGTGTCCTTTTGCTAGAGAATAAGAAGTTGCATGAGCCTTGAAACCTTTCTACAAATTCTAGAGAAAGATTAAACAACAATTCAATTGAGATCTGCAAATTACACAAGTAAGCTGCTAGTAACAGAGATCTGCAAATTGTTATTATAAACAGAAAAACACCAGAAAAATACATAACTTCATCTTTGTTAAAATGATGTGCTTATTTCAGACGCATTCAGCCATTTCCAAGAGTTACTGCATCGATCAGTTTTAGAGTTGAAGATTAAAGAGAAGTGCTATCATTTGTAGAACTCCATAACCCAAACATGACCAACAGCGCAATCAAATTTCACGTTCTTAAATCCGGCTTGGGTCGCCAACGCCGCAAATTCTTCTTTGTTCGTTCTTTTCCACCTGGGAGAGTCATCATTTGAACATCGAGGAGGAAAGTTTCCTTTACGGAAGGGATAGACTCGGGAGTAACAGGAGCTATAAATTCTGCAACAATCGCCTTCCCATTTTCTGGAATCGCTTGTAGCAATTCTTCAACAATCTCACACACTGCTCGTCGCTCCAATTATGGAAAATCCCCTGCATCGTCATTGACACAAAACACACAAAGTACGTTCAACACTACAATTGGATAGCCTTTTTTCTACATTCAAATTAACCTGCCTTCATAAAAATAGCATCTCCTTCAGGAACACTTTCAAACATATCTCCAGCAACATGTTCAACACCTACGCAAGTGAAGAAGATTCATAAATATAAATCTATCTATGTATGTGTGTATAACATATGTTAGGTATGACTCATATACTAGTTGGAGGACAGATGCTGGAGCGGAGTTGAGCGGAGTGAGAGAAGCGAACGGACAAATTTCAAAAAACTAAAAAGCCTCAAAACAAGGACTAAATTGCACTAATTTAAACCTTGAAGCATTACAACCCAAAATTTCTAATGACTAAAATGAAACTTTGCAAAACTAGGATGGCCAGAAAAATAATTTTCTCATATGCATGGGTTCAGAAACACTAACCCAAAACTACATCATTTTGGGATTAGCATAAATACCCCATTATAAGATTTTTCAAACCCTAGCCCTTATTTTTTATGTCCAACTGTTTGTTGGGACCGTCGGGTCACCCCATGGCGCAGCGGAAACAAAAATTCGACGATCTCACAAGTGATCCAAGTACGATAAACCGAAATCGGAAGGAAATGATGTGAATACTTACAGCGGGTTCCTTGAAAAACAGCAAGGACAACAACGACTAATGGTGGTGTCGATCGATTCGAATCGTAAGCATCCACAAAACCACGTATCAACCTCTAATCAGTTCACCCGATAGAGAGCAATATTTTCTTTTTCCAAAACTATTTTGAGAAAAATAACTGAAGATAATGTGTAAAAACGGCTGCTAGACCTTACATATCATTTTATATCTAAGTTACCCTAACATATTAGGGATTTTATTATTTTAAATTAATTAAATCTTTATTTAATTAATTTAAATTAAATATTCGAAATTATTAAAACATATGTATATCAAACATACATTGACTCTAAATATATTTTAGTAACGTACAACAAATTGTACATCTTTGTTCATCTCAATCCTAGGGTGTGACCCTGTAGGTTCTTGTAACCTTAGCAGTAATTATTATAACAAATTCTAATATTACATACAATGAGTGACATCTAGCAATATATCATTGTCACCTAAGTTACAAGAAAATATGATTCGACATATTATTTTCGTGATTAACTCTTTTATGTATTACATCCTTTTGTCATTTATATCTAGAATAGGCACAAGTCTTGGAATAATCACACTTGTATAGCCCATTTATTGTTTCTTGATATCTAGAGCAGACTTTAATTAACGAATAATTTGTGATATCTCATATCAACTTATTCGAGCATGGCCATGCATTTCTAGTTTCACTCAATCAAGTGACCTGTGATATATTTCCTATTATGTATGAAGGACAAATCATATCTTAATCATATACACCCACTACATATATCGAGATATATTCAATAACAGTCTTTATAGAGCAACCAGTTACGAAGCTTGTTTAACTGCATCAAAACATACAACAATATATTTTGGGACAATATTGATTTCAAGTCTGAAGATCATACATATAGTCATCACCATGAGCAATGTTATGACTGTCACATAATAATCCAAGACATATGCTCATGGTGGGTCAATCTAATACATTGTTCTCTAACAATATAATCATGTATCAATTCTGACATCTATATGTCAATGACAACTCGTTATCATCAATCAATAACAAGTTAGTCTTAAACGCATTATTATTGTTCATGCCCATAATAATACTTGACTATAGATCTTTTAATAATAACAATTATGTTATTATATGGACTTTATTATCTTCCAGTTTATGTTAAACACACACACGCACACGCACACGCACACGCACACGCACACGCACACGCACACGCATATATAACTGAAATAATAGCGGCAATGCATTTATTCAATAAAATCGGTAAATAAAATGTATCATTACAATCATCATATGATTGGTCTTTGGGCATATTCTAACACTGTTTTTAAGAGAGGGGGGAGAGGAAATCCTCTCCACTTCCCATCGTCGGTGAAGACGACAACCGCTTGTTGGTGGCGGTTCACGGTGGCCGGAGGGAGATCTACAATAATACCTCTCAAAAGTTTCGAACTTCGACGACTTTTGGCTTTCTAGTGAACTCCGAACCAAGGTAAGAGTGTTTTCTTTTCTCTCTTCCTTTTTCCTTTCGAATCTAATATTGTTTTTTTTTCATGTTTTTTTTTTCGATTTTTTGAACTGAAAACCCCCTCTTTTTCGAACTGAAGAAAACCCATTTTTTTTCTCTTCGATTCCTTCCTTTTTTTAATCGAACTCAACTCCTCTTCTTCTTTCTCTAGGGTTTTTTCTTTTTTCGTTTTTCTCTCATGTTTTGTTTTTCTTTTTTTTGAATCGAATCCCCTCTTCTTTTTTTGTTTTTTCTTCTTCTTTTCGAATTAAACCTTCTTTTTTTCGATTTTGGTTGCCCTTTTAACACAAAGTGATGAGGATTCAGTTTGGTGAGATCTTAGGGCAGAGACATGATGTCTTCCGGATTTTCGTGATTTTTTTTTTGAATTTTTAAAAGGGTTTGCTGGTTTTTTTTACTGTGGATGGTGATGTTGATTTGTTTTGCTGTAGTTGATGATGGTGGAGCGGTTTGGGATGACCTCAGTCACAGTAACGTCGGCGGTGGAGGCTCTGGCAATGACGCAGTGTCGGTGGAACCCTTGCTGGTGGCGGTGGCGGCGCTTAGAGACTAAGCAACTAGGGTTTCATAAAACCCTAAAATTGGGTCATCTGATGGGCTAAGGTTTGGGCCAGTTGGCCCCTTGTAATTGGGCACAATTTGGGCATGTTGTAATGGACATGTAAAAGAAAAAATAAAAATAAAAACAAAAATAAAAACAAATAATAATAATAATAATATTAATAATAACAAAAGATCAGGGCGAAAACGAGTGTCTACACATCGGTTCAACACAACCACCATTAACCCATTACTCTTAACCCAAACCAAATCTTACCTCATTTGTGAACCACCACTAAAACCCAACTAAACATCCCATTTACCATCATTGAGCCATCTTTATCAACCAACAATCACAATCATCTCATCAATATACCTTTACGCGAAACACCCAATAACCTAATATGCATTCATTTGAAACACCCAACAACCTGTACTAGGGGTGAGCAAAAAAAAAATTTCGACTCGATTCGACTCAAAAAACTCGATTCGAATTGACTTCGAGTTACAATTTCATAAACTCGACTCAACTCGAAAAAATTTCAAGTTCAAATCGAGTTGTAAAATGCAATTCGAATAACTCAAAATTTTTAGTAATTAGTAGATTTATTTTCAAGTTTGAGTCGAGTCCTTTACATGATATATGTATATCACATATGAAATACATATGAAAAAATATATTTGTATTATATATATGGTTATAGAAAGTTACTTAATTTGGAATAAAATAATATTATAATATTATAAATATTTACAATTAAATTTAAACAGAAATTAAAAAAATCGACTCGAAAAAATTTCAAATCAAATCCGAGTTGTAAAATAGGACTTGTCAAATCGAATAACTCGAATTTTTTAACTCGACTCGACCGAATACTCACCCCTAACTTTTACCAAACACTTCAATAACCTTTAACCGAAGCAGGAACAAAAACAAAGAAAAATGAACCTAAAACAAACAAGAGAAAAGAAAGTATAAGCAAAGGGTGAGAGAGGCTCGTCCTTTAGCTCATTGGAGTCTTGAAACTCATGGGTCCGATAGCGGATTTGAACGGTGAGACATCTAGGGATGTAAAAAGTTAACACGACCTGTAAAATTGATTGAAACCGTCTTGAGTCAAGATTGTTTGTGACTTGAGGTAGTGGTGATCCGAAATTGATTCGAGTCTGAATTGGTATTTAACTAATTCGGATTTGAATCGTTTTGACCTGAACTGACATCGATCTGAACTGAAATTAACCGGACTCGAATCAAAACTGAATCTGATTTCAAATCAACCTGAAATAACTAGAACTGATTTGATCTAACCTAATAAGATTCACCTGAAACCTGAGTGATTACCTGATTTTATATCTATAGAGGCATAAGGGATATCACATAGAAGAGCATATTTTGGTTATATACCTATTGGACGATCAAAGGTGATTTGGTTCCCGAGTGAACTTTTGTAGGCTTTGAAACATATTTACTTAAAGATTAAACTTTGCATTAGAAAGAAGTCGACAAAAGAACCATTTGACCACCATCATCGGTTAGAGGAAGAGATCGCAGTACAATGGTAAGGACAACGACACAATAGTTTTATTTTATTTTGGGAAACTCCTAATGATAAAAAGAAAGAATTGCGAAAGTTTTAAAAGTACAACATAATTTAAAGTAAAAGTAGTGTAAACACCTATTTTTTGTCCGGGTCTTAGAAACAAATTATTATTATTATTATTATTATTAATTTACATTAATAATTTTAGTTAAAGATGTTGTCATTTCACTTCACGTTGTTGCTTATTATACATATAGCGGGTGCAAGTTCCTCCAGATATGTTTAATTTTACGGCTCTAATTAAAGTTCCAGTCACCATATTAATTAATTAATTCGCTCTCAAATCCCTAAACTCATCTAATTAAATTAGTCCATGCCTAAACCTTAGTTAAAATTTTAAAATTTTTATGAATGGTTTGACCATTTTTTATATAAACTCAATCGAACTCTATGTTTATCATTTTCTTTTTTTGGGATAAATTCCTCATATTATTATCCAATAAGCAGTAGACAAAAAACTCACTGCTACAACCAATACAGACATCAAAAACCAAAAACAACCTTCTAGGGGGTGATGATCCCCCAAGCTAGGCAAAGGTTACAATTAACTACACTACTCTTGATGACTATTCTAGCTGCCTTCACCCTAATTACCTCTTTAATACAATTCACCACATTATCAATATCTCTACTAATGCCCCTAAATTGTATATGATTCCTCTCCTCCCTCCCATATACAGTAAACGTATGCACACCAAGCTACTCTAAGAAAAAACACAAGAAAAGTTTTACCTTTGAACCGAGATATTGCCCAATTCAATTCCTCATCCCAAGTCCCCACAATTCTGTTAACATTACACATTCGTGCGATCCCCTCCCACACAGCCTTCGAAAACGAGCATTCAAAGAAGATATGGCTGTGAGTCTCAGACATAGCTCCACACAATCTACACTTATCATCCACCTCAATTCTCATATGAGCAAGCCTATGAGCAGTTGGCAGCCTATCGAGGATAGCCATCTAAGCAATAAGTGAGTGCTTAGGTATGTGCATAGGAAACCAGACAATCTTGTGCCATTCAACCTTCTCTTTTCTCCCCCTAATCTTCTGCCATATCCAACGAGCGTTGACCTTGTCCCAGTCCATGGTCCCTGAGAACAGAGGTTGCAATTCTTCTCGTTTTCAGAATTTTCCGCATACTCCAGCTGAATGAGGCTTTGCTTTCAATAGACCAGAAGTTAGCCCCCTTAAGGACATAAGACCTCACCCAAGCAACCCAAAGTGAGCCCTCAGCAGTAAGTAACTCCTTGACCAAAAGCATTATACATGCTTTATTCCAGCATTTTAAATGTTTAAGGCCTAGCCCCCCTCAGATTTAGGGGTACAGATAAACTCCCAACTCACTCGAGCTCCCTTAGCTGGAATATCTCCACCCTTCGAAAAGAACCTAGCACAAAGCTGGTCCACCCTCCTAATCACAGCAGCAGGCAGAATAAGTTGTCTGCACCAGAAATTGGCAATGCTAAACAAGACTGCCTTCACCAGTTGCAACCTACCTGCATAACTCAACCATCTGTTGGACCAAAGTACCAACTTTGCTTTGATTTTCTCCACTAGAACAACACAATCATTCTCAGTTAATTTCCTGGGGACTAGAGGTACCCCAAGGTATCTCACTGGAAGACAGCCTATTATAAATCCAGTAGCCTCATGCACCAAAGTCCTATTATTTCCATTCACACCAGCAATGAAGATTTCAGTCTTAGAGGCATTAAGTCTCAACCCATACATCTCATAAAACTTTCCAAAACACATTTTACCCCTACAATTGAATCCAAAATACCTTTGCAAAAAATGAGTAAATTTTCTACAAAGCATAAGTGAGTTAGATTCACTCTTTTGCACTTATGGTGAAACTGATTTTTTTTTTCCTGAGGCAGCAATATCTAGCAACTTGGAGAGGATGTTCATAGCAATTACAAATAAGTAAGGGGGATAGGGGGTCCCCCCTGCCTAACTCATCTTCTACCTCTGAAAAATCCCACAAGGCTATCATTCAACACAATGGAGAATCTAGAGTCCTTAACACATGCCACTATCTAGCTCCTAAACTGTTCTGGCAGCCCTAACCCCTTTAAAACAACAAGTAGAAACTTCCAGCTTAAAGAGTCAAAAGCTTTTTGCATATCAGCTTTTATGACACATCTAGGGGAAATAGACCTCCTACCATACCCTCTGACAAGCTCTTGTGCCAAGAGAGTATTACTTTCAATGTTTCTTCCCCTCACAAAGGCTGACTGGTGGGGAGTTATCATCTCAGGAAGGTATGTAACCAATCTACTCACCAATATCTTAGTGTCAGTCTTGTAAAATACAAAACAACAAGATATAGGTCTAAAATCCATAGCTTTACAAGAGTTGGGCTTCTTAAGAGCTAATGCAATAGCAGTAGAGTTAAAGGCATGCATCATTCTAGAGGTTTCAAAAAAATACCTCACAACAGCTATGAAATCTGCTCCAACAATGTCCCAGGCAAATTGAAAGAAACCAACAGTGTATCCATCAGGGCTAGGGGCTTTATCCTTGCCTTAATTCCAAATAGCCACTTTAATTTCCTCATTAGTAACAGTTTTGACCAAGTCAGCATTAACACCTTCAGGGAAAGAGTACCCAGCAAGTCCCTCAGAAATTTGTCAGTACACCCCTGTACATTTTCATGTACAAAACCAATCTGCCTTGTGAAATAGTTCACCAATTCTTCAGCCATGGAATCAAATGTTTCCAGTTTAGTAACAGTTTATCATTTTCTTTTCTTTTTAGATGTTGATTAACAAATAAAAATTATTAAGTGTTAAAATTAAATAATATTTTTTATACATTTCATAAAATTAAAGATTAAACATAATTAATTTATTTGATAAATATATATTTTCAATTATGAATATATTTATTTTACATTTATATTCTCATTTTAAAACATTTCACGCTATTTTAAACAAATTCATATTCCAAAGGTAAAATATATAAATAATTTGTAATAATATAAAATATATCTTAATTTTTAAGGATATATATCTTAAAATTAAATAAATACATTTTTTTATTTTTTTATTTTATAAAACACATAGATGAAACAAGCATATGATAAATTTTGAAACAAACCGCTTCTTTAAAGGGTTTTAAGGATTTTAGAGTTTCTTTGTAATTTAAGAGAAAATAATTTTTTTTATAAATATAATAATATTATTAATATTTTTTTAAAATAATAAATTTCAAAATTTACTAGATTGTGACGCGTGTCACTTAACGGAGGAAATTAACACTGTTGACGGCTCGAGAACCTAAAGTGGTAATGTTTGTAACGTTAGACACCAGAATCATTTAAAAAATAGTTTAGACACCTATTCATGAAAACGCTATAGTTTAGACACTTAGTTTATAATTAAGCCTAAAATGTTATATTAACATATTAGGTTTCCTTTTACGTAAATGTTATATACACTATGAGCAATTTCATTCATTGAATTATCTGTTGGGGACCATTTGATACTCGATTTCTTGGGTGAACTAGAAGGCCAAAATATATGGTAATCTTAAATTTTTAGGAGGGAGACCGCCTCACCGCCTAGGTTCATCTCTGAGTGTAGTGTTTGACGGAATGGATAACAATTAATGTCCTTTTGCTAGAGAATAAGAAGTTGCATAAGCATTGAAACCTTTCTACGAATTCTAGAGAAAGATGAAACTACAATTCAATTTGAGATCTGCAAATCACATAAGTAAGCTGATAGTAAAAGAGATCTGCAAATTGCTATTAAAAGCAGAAAAAAAACACCAGATACATACATCATCTTTGTTAAAATGATGTGCTTACTTCAGACGCGTTCAGCCTTTTCCGAGAGCTACTGCATGGATCAGTTTTAGAGTCGAAGATTAAAAGGGGAGTGCTATCATTTGTAGAACTCCATAATCCATACATTTACAACACAGCAATCAAATTTGACGCTCTTGAATCCGGCTTCGGTGGCCAACGCCACAAGTTTTTCTTTTGATCGTTCTTCTCCACCTGCGAATTGAGCCATCATCAGCACATCGTGGAGGAATGCGACCTTTAAGAAAGGGGTAGACTCGGGCATAGCAGGAACTACTGGTTCTGCCACAATCACTTTCCCATTTTCTGGAATCGCTTTGTAGCAATTCTTCAATAATTTCACACACTTGTCGTCGCCCCAATTATGTAGAATCCCCTGCACCGCCATTGACACAAAACACAAAGTACGTTACACTACAACTGGATAACCTTTTTTCTACATTCAAAATTAACTTACCTTCATGAAAATAGCATCTCCTTCAGGAACACTTTCAAACATGTCTCCACCAACATGTTCAACACCTACACAAGTGAAGAAGATTCATTAATGTGTTTATCTCTCTACGTGATTGACCTCCTTCAGCAAAATTCTATGTTGGTTTACCAGGATAGGTCGGGGCACGCTGTATAACATGAGGCAAGTCGAAATTGATGCCTTTGATATTTGGGTATTTGGAAGTGATATGGTGGAGCATCATACCAAGGTTGCCGCCGACGTCGACCAGCTGCTTGATGCCGTCGAACCCCTTGTAAGACGACAGCAACTCTTTGCTGTCTATTGAACTTGAATTGAGCATTGCCGTGTTGAAAACTTGATTGAACCTAGCATCCGATGCGATGTACTCGAAGGCATGTGCTCCATCATGCGCCCTGTTGAATGCTGTTCCACCTTCTAAAATCGCATCTTTAAGATGATACCTGGGATTGAAAACCATCAAATGATCTGACATCTAATAAGTAAAACAATTTTTAAGTAAAGTTGACACGGACCAACTATCCAAGAATATTTTATCTTGAACCAGAGCAATGATAGGGACAAACGACCCGGCATCTTCGTTGCGCACGAAGTAGTGAGACACCGGTGATAAACCGTAGTGCCTTTCGAGACCAACCACCGAGCAGGTCAGCACATTGTGGCTAGCCAAAAGCCTGGCAATCCGATCCACCATGATTGGCGCAGCCTGGTTCTTGGTGGGCATTTGTGCTGCAATGTCAGCGGCGGAGAGTTTGGTCCCCGGACCTGCTTTAGCAATTATCTCCATAATCCCAAGCTCGCATGCTGTTTTCAAGGCCATAGATAGTACTGATCCCATCACAAGCTGAGAGGCAAACAAATAGGTTTCATTTTCACTTCCACCAGATACTTCACGGTGAGGTTCTACTGAAGAAGCCATTTGATTCTTCAATTACTTCAACGCACATTAATTGTTCCTGCATCGCTTATATTTATAGATGTTCCATAGCATTAATGTGTCGTTAATTGCTAATCTGTATATTAAAACATCGACAATACTCTCATCTAATGTGACACTAAAATCTAATTTCAGCCATAAATTCAACGGGTAAACTATAACAGTGACCACCTAACTATAGCCTATTTTTATTTTGACCATTATTTTTGAGTTTTTGTCAATCGGATCATCCAATTATTTAAATGCATTCAATCAGGCCACTTGCCGTTAATAGTTAACGAAAGTGTTAATGTGGCAGTGAAAGTATAATTATATTTGACCCTCCATATTTACATATTGTTATACATAAGTTGCGTCACACCACAATTCCGGGGCTAAATTTTTTTGTAATTTTTATTTTGAGGATTAATTTAAAATTTTGGTAAATTTCAGAGACCAAAATGAAATTTTAATTAATTTTGGGTCCAAAATCAAAAAAAAAATTAAAACTAGAAAGACATATGGCATAATTATACCATTTTCTTTATTTGGATGGTTTATAAACCCCCAAACTCTGCCATTTCCAGGAAGAAAAAATAACTTCAGTGACCAAAATGCCTTATAATATATGATTTTAACCAATTTTTTTTTGGATTTGCCAAAATGACCAACTAAATCGCAATGCGATCGATAATTTGCAACGCGATCTCCGATATCACAAATCAGTTTCCAGATTCGCAACGCGATTCTGACTATCGCATTGCGATTTTCCAAATTCGCGTTGCGATTTTCCTAATTCACAATGCGAATACGTAAATCGCAACGCGAATTTGAAAAATCGCAATGCGATTACGTAAATCGCAATGCGAATACGTAAATCGCAATGCGAATACGTAAATCGCAACGCGAATATGACTATCGCAACGAGATTCTGACTATCGCAATACTGAATTTCAAATTTGCAACTCGATTTCTGAATTCGTAACAGGTTTTAGTTTCGCAACACAAATGTTTTGGGTATATAACTACGCAGCAGCAGCAACTCATAACCTAAATCCCTAAATCACAACTCATTCCATCTCCATCTATCACTCTCTCCGACGACATCCGTTCCTATATCCAACGACATCCTTCCCCATCCGGCAACATGTTTTAGTTTCGCAGCTCGTTTGTTTAGTAAATTAATTTACAATAATGAAATCATCTAATGTTGATCATGTTTGGATATATTTGTGTTTTGGAGGGTCATGGGAGAATGTTCATGGTGTTTTACAATATATGCCTTTACCCATGAATCTTCAACTAAAACTGTCATTAAAAAAGTTAACTTATGAAACTCTAATGTTACGTTTTGTAAATAAATTGAATTTAGAGCCCCTAAGTGGATTTAGGCTATCTTATCAGAGAAATGGTAAAGTTTATTTGTTAACCGACAATGAAGATGTTGAACGATTCATTGCTTGCATTAGTGTTTCAAGTGATGATGTTACATTGTATGTTGAACCTAGAAGTAGTGAAGTTGGGTCAGTAGCGGGTAGTAATCAACTAAGTTTTTCAACCCCAGTTTATGGTGCTCAAAATTTAATGGTTCCACCACAATTTCATCACCAAGCAAATATTGTTTCACCACATTTCCAATACCAAACACAATTTCAAAACCCACAACCTTTCCCTAATCCAAATCCCAATCAACTTTCAGCACCAAATTCCGGTTTTCGTATTGACCAATTAGACGATGATGAGCCAATAGAAAAAATTGTGAGTACTAGTCAGTATTCGAAATTTGATCTTGGTCAATACCTGGACTTTGATCTTGGTCAATTCTCGGATTTTGATGATTTTTCAGAAGAAGAAACAGACACTGCGTGTAATGATTTTGATATTGGTCAATACCTGAATTTTGATGATGAAACAGCCGTTGCCGAGGAAGATGTTGTTGATGATAATGAGGAGGAAGTTACGACTGTAAATGAACATGTTGAACATCCATTCTGTAATTCATATAACCCTGAAGAAGAAAAAAGAAGAAGAAGAAATCCCCAAAGAAAAGTCCTCGAAGAAAATACCACGGGAGTATAACTAGAATATGCTAGAATTACTTTAGATACCGGAAGAAGAGTTGGTAAAGATAGCAGTTGATTGTTACACAAAAATTATTCGTATCAAGAAAGATGATTGTTTTGATACAAAGGAAGACTTGAAGATAACTTTGTATACGAAATGTGTGGAAGATGGCTATCAACTAAAAGTTAACAAATCAAGCAAAGATCGTTTCGAAACAAGGTGTATGATTGACAAAAACTGTACGTGGCGTATGATTGCAAAGAGGATAAAAGATTGCGAAATGTTTCAAGTTAGGACTTTTATTGATAACATACATGTTCAAAGAACCCAAGTTTTTCCTCACATAGACAGGCAAAAAAAAGGTGTTGGGTGGTTTTCTGGCTGAGTTAATGTTTTTGAATGGCAGGGTATATCGGGGACATGAAATTATGACTGACATGAATGCTCGGTTCAAGATTAGTATCTCATATTCTCAAACTTGGAGAGCTAAATGTTATGCCTTGGAATTGTTAAGGGGGTCGCCAGAAGCATCATTTGCCCAACTGCCGGCTTATTGTCACAATTTAAAGCTGAAAAATCCTGGGTCGGTAACTCATATCAAAACAGATAGAGATGGACGCTTTGAGTTGCTGTTTATCGCCATTGGTGCTGCGGTTAGTAAATCAATATAATTTTGTTGACTTATTTTTGTTAGTTACATGCATTTCACATTTAAATGATTATATTTCTTGTGTATATGATTTTGTAGATTCGTTCGTTTATTACTTGCATGCGCCCAGTTATTATAGTTGACGGAGCACATTAAAAGGTCGATACCTTGGAGTAAACTTATTAGTAGTAGCCATGGATGCTAACAATGGGATACTGCCAATAGCTTACGGGGTTGGCAAATCTGAAACCTCTGATTCATGGACATGGTTTATGGGGCATCTTAGGGATTACATAGGTCCTATTAGCAATCTGACAATCATATCCGATAGGGAAAACTCAATTGACAACGCTGTTAGAAGGTGTTTCCCAGATGCTTTTCATGGACTTTGTGGTGTTCATTTGTATAGAAATCTAAAATCAAGGTCTGCTGGTATAAAAAATCATAAATGGACATACTGGAAGGCTGTAAAAGCTTATCGGGAAGTGGATTTTAATAAGCATATAAACTGTTTAAGACGTGTTTTGTCTCAGTGTGCTCAAACACTAGAAGATGTCGAGTTTGAAAGATGGTCAAGAGTACATCAACTTGGAGCAAGATATGGTTTCATGACGTCTAATAGTGCAGAATCAATCAACGCTCTAAGTCGTCATTCCCGGAAATTACCCATTACTATGTTAATGGAGTTTTTTCGAGCCTCTATTCAACAGTGGTACTACAAGAAAAGAAACCATGCAGGTATTATTTCTTTAAATTCGTAACTTATCATATATTTTACTAAGTATTATTTATTTAAATTTACAGGAACATTGGAACATCGTGTTACACCATGGACTGAAAAAAAGATAACGAAACGTATTGTGAATCAACGTCATGGAGAGTTGAACCATGTTCAAAAACTTTGTTTGAAGTACTGGATAATAACTTAAATGGGCTTGTCGATCTAAATGCAAAGACGTGTAGTTGTATGAAATGGAAAACATCTGGTTATATGTGTGGCCATGTTATAAAAGTTGCTCTTCATCTAAACCAAGATGATTCAAGCGCATACGCTATGGATTGCTACACTACAGAAGTATATCGACAGACTTATGTCGAGATTGTCTACCCTATTCCACATCCTTCTGAGTTGGACATACCAGATGACTTACAAACAGTTTTGCCACCAGCCATGAACAGAAGGCTATCTGGCCGACCAAAAAGTCACGATCGTATACCGTCTAAGGGTGAAGAGAAGAAGAGATCGACATGTAGCCGGTGCAAGGAAAGTGGTCATACAAGGTTGACATGTGGATCACCAGTGCCATCACAATCATCTTTTCCTCTACCAAAATATGGATCATCATCAAAATCCCAATCACAACCGGCTTCATCTTTTGGGACTGTTAACTTAGGTGATTTTTAAATGCAAACGTTGTATTATGTGTATATTATGTGTGAACTTTTAACATTTTCAGTTAGGCATGTATTAGTAACTTGAGTTTGAACATTGCTATGATATGTTCAGTTGTTATCACTTATTAGACATTCATTTGACTATCGCAATGCGAATATGACTATCGCAACACGGAAATGACTATTGCAATGCGGAATTGACTATCGCAACGCGGAAATGACTATCGCAACGAGAGAATCGCAATGCGAAATGAAAATCGCAACGAGTGAATCGCAATGCGAAAATGAAAATCGCAACGCAAATTTAGTTTCGCGTTGCGATTTTCATTTTCGTATTGCGATTTCTCGTTGCTATTTTCATTCGCATTGCGATTATCTCGTTGCGATAGTCATTTTCGGGTTGCGATATTCTGTTTTGGGCAGATGCAGATTGAAATAAAAAAATCAACTATTACATTTCAATCAATTAAACAAGCACAAATAATAATTATGTACACATCAATTAAACAAATCAACATTTACAAATCATCTTTTACAAATCAATTAAACAATCAAAAAATAATAATAAGAATTATTTCCTCATCAATTATTGAATCAACTTTTGCACCCATACATCCATTTCACACAGCTCACTTCATAATTAACCTGCAGAAACCAAACATTGAATCAACAACACTTTCTACACATCTAAAACCTACAAACAACAAATTATTGAATTCTAGCTACTTAACCAAACATTTTCAAACCAAAAAGAGTATATATGTTTAACAACACTTACATTTGACTTACAAATTGTTTATGGACACTTTCATAACGCGGATGCAGGTAGGCAGCGTCTCGCATATATCGCTCTAGCCATAAAATGCCGAAACCACAAGCCTACTGCACCTCCATC